TAGAATAAGGGACAAATTTTTAAACAATCTAGAGAAAATATTTGTGATGTCTACTTTAAAATTTTGAAGATTTTCCTTAATGTAGAAGGCAATTTTGGTTTTTAGATTGAAGAAAATAATTATTTTTTTCAATATTTGGTTATTGAAAAGACCAATCTTAACATTTTCCCAATCTTAACATTTTCTTTTTTCTACCCTAATAAAATATCCGGAACTTAAATGTAACATTTCTAAAAAGCTGTGAAATTTTTAAAAATCTCGTTTGTGAGGTATTTTCATAGACATCCAAAAGAACACTTTAGTCCTCCTCTGATTCAGCTGTATGATAAAATTTCATTTATTAACGATGGGTATGATTAAGTCTCAAACACATGAAGTAAATCAATTTAATCCAGCCTGCCAGTTAAATTACTTCTATTTCTAACTCTAAATATAAATATTAATGTCTAGAAAACAAAGAACACTGGAGATAAACATTGTTTAAGGCCTCTTTCAAATGATTCTAAGGAATATGTGCCAAAAAAGTTCTAAAAGACTCTCCTATCATGTAAGAGAATAAGAAAACGTTATTTATATATTCCTGGTTTATAATCATCAAGGATCTAAAATTTGGCTCAGAATCCAGGTAAATGTAAGAAGAAATGAATTAAGAACATAAAAAAATACAGGTGCAGCTACAATTCAACTACATATTTCCCGTTTTTGTAGGGTGTGTCTTTGTTCTCACAGCTGGGAGAGGTGTACTCTAAATTTGCAACAAAGAAAGCCACCACATTAAAGAACTCCAGAAATTCCTATAACCAAAACTGTAGCAATAAGCATGCAATCTTCAATTGCCTTTCATAAAGATATTATGTGCTTTAATCTTCTGTTCATCTGCACTCAGCACATTTGGCAAAGTACATTAACAATAGAGATGAAAACACTCATTTGAATATAAAGCTTAGGAAAGAAGAATCACAGGCAATGACTAATAACCAACATCTTTTAAGAGTTTATTTTCACTATTGAAAAAAGAATTGGAAATAATGCCATGTATTCTGTTCATGCTCTAAGTTTTTGTTTTAATTATTCAATTTCAGTTTTGCCTAAAGGAAGGAAATAAAACAAAAACAATTATGATCTAAGTAAGATCAGTGATTTTGAACCCAAACTGCTGATTTTTAATGTATTCATTTTCCCAAATGCATAAATGTGCTTTTTACCTCTAGTGTTTTATCAGTTCCACAGTCATAATTTATACAAAACACACAGATGGTCTTAGAAATAGTAAAAGTTTCAGATGTTACAACTTCCTAGCATATGGAACACCATCATGGATCATCATTTTGGCAGCATGTAAACGATTTAAAAGTTATTTATATATTAACATCTTGGCAAAATTTCACAGTCATAGGATTTTACAACTTTAAACTATTTGATTCCTTATTGTAAGTGGTTCTTACGCTGCTTAGAAGCTACTGATGGCATGGGGGAACTTGTGCTCTTCAATTAAGAAGATAGCATTCCCTTAGACAGCAAAAGCAAATGAAGATTCTATAATAAAAACATTTTGGCATAAACCACAAAATGTCATCTAGTTCAATATATGATACAACAGGGAGTTCCAAGAAGTTTTTAAAAATCAAATTTACTATATTTTAAACCGTCAATGTCACAAAAAAATTAACACATACACAGGCATACACACGAAATATAACATTTAGAATTAACTGAGATCTTTCAAAATGCAAGACTACAACCACAGTTAATTTTTTATCTAGTGTATGGAATACGACATTAAAAAGAGTTGTCTATGCTCCGTGTTTAGTTTTGATCTTTTCAGTCTGTCTTGAACTGGATCAATGAGGTTTTAACCCCCACCACTCCCCTGAAATAGCTCTTGTCAAGGTCATTTATGATTGCTCACCAAGTTGTTAAATCCAGTGGTGAATTCTTAATCCTCATTATTACTCCATCTACCAGCTGCAGTTGACTCAGTCACCACCACTTCCTTCAAACCATCTTTACCTGGCCACCCTTCTAGTTTTCCTCCTTTCTCAGTGACTGCTCTCTCTCAGTTTCCCCCGCTCTTTCCACCTCTTCTCCATGAGAACTAAGCATTGGACTGCTTTTCCTTTCTATCTGCAATAATTCCCTTGGTAATTGCAGTCTCCTGTTTTTAAATAACATGTAAGCACTGTTGACTCCCATATTCATTTAGCTATATGGCTAAATACTCCTCAGTGACTTCATGCAACAAAGATTTATTTCTCATTCATTTTACATGTCCATCTTGAGAAGACAGGGGTGTGGGATAGAAAGTTCTACACAGAACTCTCAGGGTGTCTTCCACGTTGCAGTGGCACTACCTAAATAAAACTAGCAGCTTTCTTGGTTGCAGAGTGCTAAAGACAGTACTGGAGTATTTAAATCACCAGTATTTAATTTTTTTAATGTTCACTCATTACCCATGAAGCTGAACAAGTCAAACAGGTCTGCCAGACAGCAAAAAAGCTGGGAAGTTGAGTCTTTTATCTGGCCAGGACAGGAGAACTGCAGAGTAATGAGAACTTGTATGTCTACCATAATTTCTTTTCTCCAACCTCAACCTCAATTCTGAATTTCTGACTCATGTATCCAACTGCCTATTTGACAATTATACATGGATATTGAATAAGTATTTCAAAATTACCATGTCAAAAACTAAGCTCTCCTGCAATCTATGGCATCTAAAATAACAGCCTCTATACCTTTTCAGTTTTGCAGGCCAATTAATTAGGAGGTCCTTAACTCTTCCTTTTTGCTTACAAACACATTCAGTCTGTCAGCAAATTCTGTTGCCTACTGCTTTGTAGTATTTTCATAATCTAGCCACTCCTCACTTCCTCCTGTCCTAACAGCCTAGTTCAAACCACCATTTGCCTCTTAGCCAGATGACGCTGAAAGCTCTCAATGGGTCTCCCTGCCTGTAGCATTGCCACATTTCAGTGTGTTCTCAAGGCAGCAGAGGGTTCTCAGCAGAAGCTTCCCACCTTACTTAGAAAAAAAGCCAAACTATCTGCAACACCTATAAAAGCCCACGCAGTTGGGGTATTATTAAATTCATAGCCCTTTTAAAAAGGCTATTTCCCTGATGGTATCTCCTATACATCTTTACTCATTCTGTTCAACCAACACTGATTGTTTTACTCTTTAGTAAACATGTTAAGTATATACCACCTTAGGGTTTTGTATTTAATACTGTGTTTGCCTAAAACACCCTTTTTTCAGATACTTGTATAGTTCATTCCATCATTTTTTTGAGTTTTTTTTTTTAATGTGAGGCATTCTCTATGATCAGCTTATTTAAAATTTCAATCCTACCTAAATTCATCAAACTTTTGACTACTTTTATAGGTCTTATTATAGTTTAACTTACTGTATGTTATATTTAATTATTTTGGTTTTATCTATAGATCCTTTATTTTTATAGTTCTTTTTACAGTTTAGTTTGCTGTATATTATACTTATTTATTTTGGTTTTGTCTGTATACACACTCATAAAATGTAAGCTCCAGTAGGATATTCACTGAGTTTTGATAAAGCTGCATCTCCAGTGCTAAGAATTTTGTCATTAATTTGTATTAAATATGAATAGGTTATCAGGAAAGGCATGAGGGAAGTCTGGGATAATTATGGGTTTAATGTGTTCGAATCAAAAAGAAAGGAAAAGGGGAATTACAGATAATGGTCATTAAATGGTCTAGAATATATTTTTTAAGGGCAAAATATTCTCATCTTCATTGTACATTAATCCAAAAGGAATCTGTTATTGCCAAGAAGAGAAAAATCTGTTTCTTCACTCTATTTCTCCCATGGTCTTTCTTGCCTTAATTAGCAAAAACTAGTGTTTCCACATATAGTTTCTTTTGTCATGTGACTCTGCAGCACCTGTTAACAAGCAGAACCAGGTCATCCTCATTCTAATCCTAGGAATTATAGAAATCCTTTGGGAGACTCATTCTAATTCAGAATTACATGAAAAAATGCTTAATTTTCTTTTAAGATCCCTAAAACTTTGTTTAACACAACCTTCTTTACTTTTCTCGCTATTAATTTTGTCCAAGCTAATCTACTAACTGGTTGCTCAGAAATAGTGCAACTACTAAATAGGCTTGTGCGGTCTGTGTTATAACTTTGCTCTTGTACATCTTCCGCGGTGACCTTTTCCTCATGCATACATTCTCGTAGGGAACTTTAAAACTTGGCCCGTGAATTCACAATGGACAGATATCAATGCGTGCTGAACAGAGACAATTGTAAAGGGAAATATTGAGCAACCACAACATCAATGAGGGCCTGGTGATTGAGGTGCTTTAGTCAACACCGTACAAGACAAAACAGGCAAAAAGTCATATAGAATCACTATTGCCAAGAAGAAAATGCATCATGACTTCGTAAAAATCACATATAAGTCCTTAGGGCAGGAATTTGAAATCCAATAAGCTCATCATATGACTTCATTTTATATGGAGATAAATTCATCATTAACCACCTTTCAAAATAAGATTTTATTTTTCAGAAACAATATGGAACTCTATAGATAGGACAGAAAAGCAATATTAAAAATGAGAAAAAAAAAACATAAAAAAATCTTGAAGTGGCTGAAGAGCCCTTCTGGAAACATACTATATAACAGATCTTCTTTAATAAACCATTTATACTGTAACACATGGAAATTTTATAAGCCCTGAGTTATGATGATAATGAAGTCATACATAAAAGTGTTAACTCTCACACACTAAAATAGGAATTATCGCTTTTCTTTTACTGATCTCCAAACACCATGCATTTTCCTCACTTATTTTCATGTCAACACAGAAAGAATTGAAATGTCCTTTTTAAAAGAAAAACTGAGTATGGGAGCTGACGTAAGCCTTTACTGAAACAACCTACTTCATTTCTCTCTTTTTTTTTTTCAGTAAAGATACGCATAGTTAGACCTCCAAATGTCCCCTGCTGTTGAATTAAATACTCACAGTTATTCTTTCATCTTTATCATCCAGTGGAGAGCCATCTTTCTTCCATGAAATCGTGGGCTCAGGATGGCCTCGTGGAGGCTGGCATTCCATGACTGCAGGCTCTCCTACTGCAACCATGACATCCGAAGGGTTTTGTCTGAAGTCGTCCCGAAGTACTGTAGGAACAAGATTAAATCATTATACTCAAAAGTGATATATACAGCCCTAATCGCTGAACTTCAGCAGGTGACATTCATTATAATTACAATAAACTACCAGTAATAGCTCTTGCAGTACAGCTTTAAGAATCTATATCTACTTACAGACATCTGCAATTTAATGAAGATATTTGGCCTTAAACATACACAGAAGGGATAATTTGATATTTTTCAGAGTCTAGCAGGTGAGCGTATTCCGCTGCTTAGTGTCCTCACAATTAGCATTTGGCTCATCTTTAACTTGCATTTCTTTTCTGCCTACTGCCTACGGTTTTTCTCATTGATGTGCTAATGAATATAACTGAATCCTCTTTTTATCTATATGATTCAACAGGATAATGCTTTCTATAATTAAATGAATTACATATACATGTAAACCTAAATATTAAAAGAAAAAAAGATACTTCCAAGTGTGAATTTAATTGAGATACATTTTATAAATATTTAAAATTAATGTATAAGGCCACATAATCATTATAATTTAAATATGTTCATTATTAAAACTTTAGACATATCTGCAAAGCCACTACATTGAAACTCATTGTGTTTTTCCATGATTACTGAGAATGTTAGAAGGCACCAATACAGATAACAGCAGGGCTACCAACAGCATCATTTTTTATGTTCTATGTTTTTGCTGTTTTTTGGTGTATATTATCTCATTTAATCCTTAACTTGTTCAGAATGAGAGACACTATTAACTCTACTTGTACTACTAATATTAGTCCCATACTGTGGAGGAACAAACAATTCACTATTGCAGTCTCAACTAGATACTTATATAATATTAACATATTGTAATACAGGCTGTATTTGTAAATGTTAGAATTAAATGTGGAAAAGAAACCAAATATATATTACAAAAATAGTTCATACAGTAAAATTGTCCCTAGTATCTTGATAACATCAAGAAATCATGAATTATTTGACATGTTAGTCTTAAATACAACTCTGTTGTATATTAGACATGCAATCTTGAACTTAACACTTTTGCTTCCCTTTTCACAAAACAGGGATGGAGACACATAATTCAGTACAAAGTCCAATAAACAGTTATCATTCCTCCACCCTGTTTTCCTTGATCTGATGTGTTAATATAATGTGAACTCTTTTGGTAATAACCTAATTTTACATGGTACTTAAAACATTTATTAGTATGTTAAGTGCATAGATTTGGATTGACAAACGTTATTTATCTTTTAAAAGCTATTAAATTTTTAAAAGAATATTTGATATTATAACTAGAATGGATGTCTTTTCATTCCACTGGCATTTAAAAGTGCTTTCATGGATGAAGTACTACAATGTAAAAAACTTATGCTCAGACTGTTCTTTCAAAAATCACTCTTAAACTTTGGTTTCAAAACCTCAAACAAGTTTAGGAACTTACAAAAACCTATATTTTTCTCTTGCTTTTTAAAAGTTTTCCTTCCTCAATTCCAAACAAGTAGATGTATACATCTGAGTAAGTTATCACATCCGTGAAAAAAAATCCCCAGTTTTTAATCTGAATATTGCCACAACTTGGGCACAGCATGACTATGTTAATATTTGGAAATTACTGCTTCAAAGAGAAGACTTTTTTTTTTCTCATCTTTGGAAAGAACAGTAAAAAGGAAAAGCAAAATAAATCTGATTGTTGCACCAAACTGTTTAAAGTCTAACTTCAATTCTATTCACTATTAATAAAACATGTAGACACAAAGGTTAACCTTGTTAAACTGAAAACTCCAGCTACTGTTACCACATAATAAAAGAACAGAGTCTGAAGACTTTCACTATTTATAAGCTTATGTTATTATTAGGTGTTTAAGAACGTAACAAAAATAAAATGTAAGGCTTGTAGAAAAAGCAAATGAATTGATCTTGACAGGCAGTATGTGCCGTTGCAGGATCACATTATTAATCAAAGATAACACCTCTGAAAAGTTTAACACATTTGAAACACCCCAAAGTAAAGTACTTTTCAAATAAAAGTAAACAATATGCACAATTTTTCTATGTGGCAACCTTAAAACCAATTTAGTAATACTATATCTTATTTACAAACTGAGATCATATCTCAAATAAACTAATGAATAATAAAATCTCTTGCAGAAATATCAAAGGTCTAAGCCAGATAAATCAAGTTTTTTTCACATTTATTATGCTATTTGATCTTTTATTTTTACAATATATAATGAAAAACTAACAAAGTGTAATCCATTAAAAATTGTTGCTTAGATTATGCTCATGTAATTATTTTTGCAGCTGTAAATCATAAAATTTTAGTATTGCCTATGACTGTGGGATATTCTGTATAAAGTTATTCATTCAATATTTTTCTTCTCTGTTTTAAAACTAATTTTTCTTTCTCATACTTATCCCAAAGATTTCCTTTTGGGGAAAAATAATATGGTGTCACATTATAAAACTATATCAAACTTTTAGTTAGGCTGTCCAGTTTTCAAAATGCATGTGTATATTTAAGTCATAATAATAAAAATCAAATTCAGATTCACAGCATTTTGGTAGAAAAACCAACAGCATCCATAAGTATTCCCAGATATGGATCTTTTGAAAAGCTTCTCCTTTAACCTTTCTATTAAGCAAATATATATATATTTTTAAATGTTTCTTGATTTGAACTGTGTGAAAATTTTAATTTGTAATTGTCAAAAAGTTTAATATTAATTTGGAAAGAGCAAGTAGTATATATGGTGTAATCAAATAGATGTCACCTAAAAAGCTATTAAACCAGAGTTCCCCCAATATTATAACTATCATATTTTTTTCATATTTGTGTAGTTTTATGTTATATGCACACTTTGATACATATAATTTAAATCAACAGCTTTTTATTTTTTTATTCTTTTAAATTAGAAAAACCCTAAGCTTCATTGAATATTTGAATCCTAGAAGGTTTTTTCTATAAAATAGTTCACAAATTGTACAAAACATAATAAAGCATATAATCACCTACTTTTTGAAATCTTTACATTAATTTTAACACAGTTCTCCAAACAAGTAAACATGTTTTCAGAAAAGAATTCTAAAATGCAGTAGTGTCTTTACAACTTATCTGGGTAATGTTAAGACAGGAAGCAAAGCAGAATATAAAAAATTAAACACAAACTGTTCCAAGTAATATGGAGGCTTTATATTTGCAAAACAGTCTTTAAGTGCATTGTAGGACATTTTAGAACTGAAACATAACATCACAGAATGGGCAGAGGTCTTTGACAACACATGATCCATCCCATAAACACAAGCAACCAAGTCCCAGGAAGCTTTGCTTGTGTTATTTATGAGAAGGGGACCAGAAGAAAACCCAGGTATTCTGATTCCCAATGAAGTGGTTTTTCTTTCTTTCTTTCTTTGTTTACCATGTCACTATTGTACTGTAAAAACGCAACTACTCTACCTAATCCATTTTATTTCCAATAAATTTACTTCACTATTGCAAAAGGGTTGACTTATGGTGATTGTGCATCACTGTGTTACAATCTCACGACTATCCAATCTTGGTAGGCTCAAGTGCACCTCAAATTAAACATGAACGACTAATCGTGAATATTTGTGAACTACATACAATGCCTTTACCTTCATGAATCATAGAATCTCAGTGTGGTTAGGGGCCTGATAGATGTGTGATCCACACATTTTTGTCTTAGAAATTAATAAATTAAGGCTCCTCATGGGGAAAGGATTATGCCACATAAATAATAATAATAAAGTCAGCAATATAATAAAGATGTTAGCAATGGCTGATGCTGATAGAACACTTACTGTGTAAGGAACCATATTAAGTAACAACTCATTTAATACTTATAATAAACCTATGATAAAGTGAATGCATTGGTTTTGATTCACAGATGAGGAATTTGTAGGATGTGGCAGCCAAGCTAGAATAGAGATTTCCAGTATGTAAAGAACACTTCTCTACCATGTTGTCTGCCCATCTGATCTTAACATAGTGTTTATAATTCTAAATACATAAGTATCATGATATAATTAATATTTCAGACTCTTTCTATTGTAACATAAGTGAGAAATTTCCCTCCTGACAATCATATGTTTGAATATATTCTGCATTCCTGTGTTTTTTCAGATTTTTTTTCTTGGAAGAGAACGAATTCTATTTCATTATTCATAACACATGACGTGCTAGTTTTTACCAATGCTTCCGTTTTTATTTCAACTGCAAAATGATTGAAAAAAGCTGTATAATAATAAGCATTTTAATTGAAAATGAGCAATTTAATTAGAAGTAGGTATCTTGGGAAAAATAGGGGAAGATATTATGCAGTCCTGGGATTTATCTTTTCTACTTCCATTGATAAAGACTACTTTATCAATGAAACCTTGCAGCAAATAGTAACCTCTTTTCAAGTAGAAAAAAAAATAAAATGAAATCCTTAAATAATAAGGTAAATTGGAGGAGAAAATAAAGAGGAGGTAAAGACAACTCTATAAATGCTCAGTAACAACCTGTTTCTGTTGCCATGTACCAATTTAATTGTTTTCAAAATTTCTAATCACATACCTAGCCTTTAATTTTGAGTACAGAATACGTTACTTACTTTTATGATACTCCTAGTTTCCTGTCTAAATACCAACTTCATGATGATGTAAATAAATGTAATTTAATATCAAAATAACTATCATTCTTTCATTTACCACATCTGTACTCAGCACATACATTGTTTCTGGCAGCTATGCTATAACTCTTGTATGTTCCTTGCAGTGAAGTATACATAAAATATTGATGTCGTCAAAAAACAACATTAATATTCACCTTTCTGGGAAAGGGTAATACAATAGGGTCTTAATGCAGGTTATTTTGAATTAACAGATATATTTGGAAGGCTGGAGAGCAAGCATATCATAAAGTCTTCTATAACTATTTGCATTCCTACTTTTTTTTTTTTTTTTTGAGACGGAGTTTCACTCATGTTACCCAGGCTGGAGTGCAATGG